ATTGTTCTAGTAGGCAAGATAATATACAATTATACATGCAAGTCAGTGTTCTAGTAGGTAAGATAATGTAGAATTATACATGCAAGTCAGTGTTCTAGTAGTTAAGATAATGTAGAATTATACATGCAAGTCAGTGTTCTAGTAGTTGAGATAATGTGGAATTATACATGCAAGTCAGTGTTTTAGTAGTTAAGATAATGTAGAATTATACATGCAAGTCAATGTTCTAGTAGGCATGATAATGTAACATTATACATGCAAGTCAATGTTCTAGTAGGCAAGATAATGTAAAATTATACATGCAAGTCAATGTTCTAGTAGGCAAGATAATGTAAAACTATACATGCAAGTCAATGTTCTAGTAGGCAAGATAATGTAAAACTATACATGCACTAGTTATAAAGCTACTAAAAGTAAATTTATTCTTGAAAAAGTTTTGAACTGTGTTTTTACTTAAGTATTTTTTATTAAGTTTTAAACATTATACAAAGTAACTTTAGTAATATATTTACATTATTGATTTTGTTTCAGATTAGATGGGTAGACTTGTTATTGTTGTGAACATTTGTGTTAATTATTCTAAGAATTCTGAAATTTGCAAGTAGTTCATACATATAATGTGTAAGCAACAAATTCATTAACTTCGAGATTTTTATGCATTATTGTTAATCTAATATGATATTTACACAGATTTGACAAAAACCGTTAAAAATGTGCTTCATTATTTTCTTAGCTGTTATCTGACCATTTCAACTTTTTAAAGTGACTTTCTTTTTATATTCATTAGTTATTGGATTTAGGTTTTAATAAGTTTGTCTTTTTTTCCTCTCCATCTGGCCTGATGGTTAGGTGCTTGACTCACAATCTTCAAGTAGTGGGTTTGAATCCTGTCACTGAATGCCCTTCCACCACTGTGGGCATCATTATATGACAGTCACTTCCATTTTTTGTTGTTGGTGAAGATTAGCTATGCACAATATAACATTTAGATCTGGAGAGGATAAACTATCAGATTGTAATTGTTTCTTTTCTCATGAAGTAGATATATATATATATATATATATTATCTGCTTAAAGGGATAAACCTGTACAGCTTTCATGTCAAAACTGTACCTTTTTTTAATGCGTGAACTTCTATTCATTGTAATAGTTGGTTGTCATAAGAAATATGAATATAGGTGATATATGATTAGCTCAGCATCTTTGCTGTTTTTTTTTAAGATCATAAGCTTTACAACTGCTCATTGTAAAAAATTTTCTTTATTATTGTAGTTTGTCTAAACCCTTTCTTCACTCCCACACCCCTGAAAAGAATGTGTACACAAGATGCAATATGTCTTCTCCAACTGCAGATTGTTCTTGTTCTTTACCATCTTTGATTGTATAAACTAAGATAGTGGTGTCCTCACTACTCAAGGAAAATTTCAGGGAAAAAAATATTTATCCAAGTCAGAAAAATGCTGTGGAGGTTTAGATTAGATCAGAGAAATTTTATATTTTACCAATGTCCTTGAACATCAGATATATATTACAATATTTGTGATATGTACATTTTTTATGCTAATTAAAACATATCTGCTTCAAATATTAAATCATCACTATAATATTCCATCTGAAGACTGTAGGTTAAATCAGTTGAATCATCACTATAATATTCTATCTGAAGACTGTAGGTTAAATCAGTTGAATCATCATTATAATATTCTATCTGAAGACTGTAGGTTAAATCAGTTGAATCAATGGAAAAAGTGGTGGAAGACTGTCAGAAATTGTTTGTTTGTTTTTTAATTTTGTTCAGGGGAAAATATTTCAGAGTCAGGGAATTTTATTTTGCCTTCTAGCTGAGAATCATGGAAGTGCAGGCTCAATAACTGTAACAACTACACGTAAGTCTTGTCTTATACAACCTTGAATGGTAACAATTCATAGATAGCATCCAGCTGTGACAAACATTGACTGCCTGTTCTCTTTACCATATTGATCTACACCTTTTGGAGTTTAGTCACACACACACCTATCCCAGTTGCCATGGTAACATTGCTATTACTTCATAGTGATCTAATAATGTGAGAAAATCAATAAACCTGGATGCTTACTAAAGCCTTTCTTTAATATCAAAAGATTATCACACTTTCTTAGAAAACCAAAGTTTGTTCTCTAAACTTGAATATGAAAATACAAGATGATTAACACAAGAGCTTTTGCATGTACTTACTTATCAATATTGTGAATTCAGAATCCATGGCAACTAAAATAGCAAACAAATATACCAAAAAAGTTTTTCTTATTTTTATTTACAATAAAGTCAACATGAAAGCAGGAACGTGTTGTGGAAAGCAGCTAGCTACCAGTACATAGAATTGTTTTAAAATTAAACTGACCACCACATTCATATTTGTATGGGAATAAATAACCTTTTGATATAGAAAATATAAATGTAATATTCTGTGTAAACATCTAAATTAATATTTAATTGTTTCAGGATTGTAGCTCATGAACAAATACATTATGTAAATTTAATACTTTATTGTGTATATGAAATACTTGGTACTGTATCTTGGCTTATTTATGCTAAATGATATGTAGTTGCACTGCATTGTTGATCTATATATGTATGTATAAACTTGACATTTACAGCTTGCTTTTATACAAGTGTAAAACACTCATTAGAGATTATCCATACAAGTTAATATGCTGATTCAAGTGCATGTTGTTTTTAAAATATATAAAAACATTTGAGTTTGGCACAATAGCAAATATCTGTTCACACATGTAAGGTTAAGTTTTTGACTGCATGAAGGATTTTGTTGAAAATTTGTTTTTGGCAAGAATATTACAGGTTTTAATCCATGCCAACTTTTTATTAATGGCTGGTGTAGGACTAGCCATCACTGAAGTATTTTAAGGTTTACATTTATTGTATAGTGTGTTGTTTTAATTTTAAAGGAAATCGGTGTTAGCAATGACAGGAAAGTATCTGATAAACACTGTCAAGTAATGTTGAGTTCCTATAGAAAAGTTATTCAAATTGGAATAATTCAGAGATATGTTGTCCTGGCAGGAAGTCTTTGTCATGTTTCAAAATTCAGTAATACTTAACGATACTATTTGATGTGTTTATATGTATTTTTTACTTGTACTCGTTTATTATTATAAGAATGCACTTAAAGTAATGTATTGAAAACAGTCATTTAAAGAATGAAAATATACGTTGTATTAAGACATTTTTATTTAATTTGATGTGTGATCATAGTAGGAATAATTCATCTTTGTAGTATAACCTGTACAATAACATTTTGACGTGAGTGAAATGCTGTAACTGATGTTATATAGATAAACTGGAAAAGCCGTTTACGTGTAGGTTAACAGCCAGTTGCAGGCCTAAAGCACTGTGGTTAGTTCATATTGTAACCAGCTGGCTGAAACTTAAAAAAATGTTCTGCATAGTGTACTTTTGTCATTCTTTCTGATAGCTTAAAGATTGTTCAAGAAACTTGTCAAGTCACTGCACGTACTTTTAATAATATTTTACTTAGGTTAGGTATGGATTTTGGCTTTAATCAAATAAGTGGTTTTGTAACTTGTGTATTTTTTCTTGATATATGTTTTGTAAGACTTAGCTTATGTTGTACCTTACTTTTTTTTTTTAGTACACTGAGATAAAAAACATTCAGGTGGTCAGTGAATAAAAGAAGTTTGAGAACTACTGCTCTGGATTACTCATATGAAATTGATCATTTGGTAAAAATTAAGATATGTATATATTCTTTTGCTGAATTGATTTCAAATAGTTTTTGTATTAAATCTACCAAAATATCCATTGTTTTTTTTCAAATGGCAAACATCTTTGAGGGTCAGAAATGTAGGGCATTACCTTTTATTACTTTTATAGTCATATTCATGGATCTTAATGTGCAGTGATTTTTTCATATATGGGTTCTTTTTATAGTCTTATTCGTGGACCGTAATGTCATTGATTTTTTCATATATGGGTGTTTCCTTTTCACTAGACTCTTAGCTGGGAGTATTCTGGATGATATGATGATGAGGATTTTTAGTTTGAGCTTATTAATCTAATTTATTGAGGGTGAGCATTTAGGAAATGAAGGTCAGATTGAGTTATATAGAATAATTCATGGTGTTATCTATATGTTCTGTGCTAACAGTTCTTTCATAGACTCATGCACATTAAAGATTTATTGCTAGTGAATTTTATTTTATTTTGTTGTTGCTAGTTTTATGAATAAAAAAAAGGAAAAAGTAGAATAATATTGTGGATCTTTTCAGCTTCAGCTCATAAATGTTAAAGGTCAGAAATACTACTCATTGCTACTGCCAAAACATTTTTTGTGCATGCACCAATTGGAGGGCAACACATCCTTCATGCATATTATTCTACTTAAGCACATTATGTATTACCAAAAGCTTATTTTTTCCTCTGCACTGCAAGTGATTGGTTTTCTGTTTTACTCAATTTATGGGGTCCCAACAGGTTTTGTTTCCTTGGGGCTTGGTAGGTTCACCTATTTCTTGGTTTTTGTTACTTTCTTTTGTTCCCCCCTCTTGAATGGCTGATCATTATACAGGTGACTTATTTCTGGCAACATCCTTTGGCTTCAGTCCAGTGGAAACTGATCTCTCACATTTTATGCACTTGTGGATTTCCTTTCCAGAAGATCTTTGGTTCACACAGGTGCTATCTCATGGGCTTTTTCTGTCTTTCCACACTCCACCTCCTTTTCTTCTGTTGTCTTTCCAACCCCCTCAACAAATCCCTTGAGTCTTGGGTGCCTTGAAGAGGCTGTAACTTCTGTTTTACTCTTATCTTTTTGTTCCTGAGAAGAGAGGAGATTGGCATCCCTCCATAGATCTATCATCATAGAACCAATTTCTTTTCACCCCTCAGTTCAAGATAACATTTTTCTCGGTGTGAGGTGGATGTTCTCTCCCATTCTGTGGATGACCAAGGTCGATATTTCAGATGCATTTCATCACATTTTGATTTGTTCAACCTCCTATCTCTTTTTGGTTTGTCCATGACAATTGAGTTTTTAGTTCTGGGTCCTTCCCTTTGGTTTGGCTATGGCCTATATGTTTTTAATTGGGCTCTGAGAGTATTTGCTTGAAGGGTGCAATCACTGAGCTTCGATCTCCTTTTTTTTTCTTTGGAAACCATCTCGTGGGTTTTCTAGTTAGGCCCTCCATGACCATCTTACCCTCCCCCAGACACTCAATAGTCAGCATAAGAGCTATAGCACAGATAATCCTTTGTGCAGCTTTGAGTTAATAAAGAACCTGTCTTTTTTATATCTGTGAAAAAAGTTCAGTCCAGAAAAGAACTTGACAATTTTCACTGAGGCTTCAAACTTGACAGTGGATTGGCTGTCTCACTAAGACTGGATCCTTTACATAGTGGTCTCTACATTCTCTGATATATGAGTGTATTTATTCCCACTTTGGTCCTTCTCTCCTTAACACCTTTGTAACTACTGTCAATGACCTTCCATCTCCTTCCTGGTCATTCTTCTTTCCTTTCTCCTGTTCTTACAGATCTCTCTTGAGGCTTTCTTATCAATCACCTGGTTTTGCATTTGGACTAGAACCTCTCTTTCAGTCTCAGAGATTTCAAATGTCCCATGTTCAAACCTTTGGTCACCTGTTCCCTCTATCATTTTTTTTTCTAAAGACTTTTCTTCTCTTTCTCCCTTGAAGGAGATGCCACTCTGACATTTTTATCTTGGACACCTCCCACACTATTTATTACAGAGGCAGGTTAATTTTATTACCTGGCTGCTCCTTCCTCCCCATGACATGAGCTATCTGGGAAGGTGCATGATCAGATGTCTTCTCCCTTTCTTCTCTGTATGGGCCCCCCAGTGGCACAGCGGTATATCTGTGGGCTTACAATGCTAGAAACCGTTGTTCAATACCCGTGGTGGACAGAACACAGATAGCCCTTATGTAGCTTTATCCATAATTAAAAACAAAGAAACAAAAGAAAAATCTCTGTATGATTTTTCCAATCCTGAGTGTTTTAGGGCTAACTCAGTGATATCTTGCTTGTACTGCCCACCTTCAAGGTATTCAGCATTGCATTTTCTTGCCATATGATTCCTCCTCTTCTCATGATTTAGTTCCTTCCATTTTGATTATTTGGGTTTAACAACTTGTCCCACCTGTTTATTCCTCCATATGAGGTGACACCTTTCCTCTTTTTCATGTCACCTTCCATAACGTTTGGTTTCTCATGGTTTCTCTTGCCTCTAGCTGTCAACATCCCTTAGATGAAATATTGCAGGGGTGGAGACAACTCCCTGACACATTTCTGTCCAATTCTTACACTGCATTGCAGTTTCATCTGTCTGAGTTACATCTAGCTCTATTTGCTATTCTTTAATCTTTACAAAAACTCTAAGGTGGTAAGTTATCACTTATTTTTTTACAGTTTCAACATCACCAATATTATATTTATATATACTGGATGTTATGGAACCTACTAGGTAGCCACTGTTCCTTCATAGGGAATACTTTTCTCTTCTGAAACCTGGATTGAGTGGGAGATGACAGAAAATATTATGCACATCTGCCCATGTTAACCCCATTTGTAGTATTCCATTGTACAATCTATCTTTGTGATCTTATGCAGATAACAGAATATTCTTGTTCAGTCCATGTACCTCTCCATTGTTCTCCTCTATGCAAAGTATTCTCATTTTTTTCTATTAGAGTAAAAACAGAACTCTTGCTTCCCTATTCCCAAGCCACTGGGGAGGTCAGTATAGAGAGTTCCTCTTTGGGTCAGTGTAATCCTGTATTTTTGAGACCAAGTAGACATGTCTTTCAATTGAACGTAGGACTAGATGTGTAGTGCAAACCACCTCTACACTAAAAACCAGACTGTTCCTGATAGTCAGGCCAGTCAGGTGGTTGCATCAGACAAGTACCGTATATGTTAATGCAAGTTGAGATTGGATCTTCATTCAAAGGCTTGGCTCATGTGCAAAACCCTTTTCAGTAGTTTTGTAGAGAGATGAGTACCTATGTGAAATGCATTTTCAAAGAAAATGTAAACATTTTAAACCCACATTTTTTTCCTTCTGGTTTTTTATAGGGATGATTTGGTAGACCAAATTGATGATGAAGATAAAAAGCTGCATCCATATTTCCTGCAGATATTTAAAGGAAGACCATGTGTGCTGGAATATAAAGAATAAGCTTGCAAAAGTTTGCATTTAGAGAATTTAATATTCAAATTTTCCTTTAGAGAAACTTTCATTAAATATGATTTATTTTAGTCTTGATCAAGCAGAGGTGAGGATTTTCAACTCATTTAATTTATAAAACCATAACTGTGCAATGTAATGTTTTTGTATAGATAATACAGTTACATCGTGACATTATCTAAACAGTTATTGGACAAAAGTCCCTGTGTGTTTATGCCTGCTTAAAACTGCTAAACTGTTTGTCACCAATCTTTTTATGTATCCTTAGGGGATCCAACCAGGAAGGTGATAGTTTTTGCTCAGATCTCCCCACCCCCCCACCCCACACACACACTTGTCTTTGTATGTGCTATGTGGAAATAGAGAAAAATTATAACCAACATTAGTTTGTAAACACTGTCATTCAGATTTATAAGGGGTACTGATGGATTTTTTTCCAGTTTCCTCTTTCATTACATGGGATAAATGTACATACAGTCTATGTATTTTTAATCATTACTGGTATGTTTAGGACAAAAAACAGAAACACTATTTATATTCATAGCTTGCAAAAAAAATTAACTATACAATTGTATTTCATTTTCAAATCCCATCAGTCATTTGAGGGATTTCTTTTTCATACATAATTTCAAGATAGACAAACTTATATTTAATGAGATGTTATTAAATCATGCGTTACTTATTGCTTTTTGATAAAGAACTAAAATAGAAAATAATTTAAATTATCAAGCCCAGTGGACATGAATAATTTTATTCTTATGTATTTTAAATCTTTATATTTATTGGCAATTTTGGAATAAATGAACACTTTTAAATATTCATAATTGTTAAAAATTTCTTTTTCAAATTTCATCAATCATCTGATGGATTTAACATTCATCGATATAACCACCTTGTAACAATACCTATCAGTGTTGTGTGCTTTATTAAAGACATTTAAATATACACATGAAATAGAAATTACTCAGTTTACTTCCACAGTTTGTATTGAATGTAAGTCTGATACTACATAACTTGTTATGAGTGTGTAATAAATAATATTTAATGTAAGTCTGATACTACATAACTTGTTATGAGCATGTAGTAAATAATATGGAATGCAAGTCTGATACTACATAACTTGTTATGAGCATGTAATAAATAATATTGAATGTAAGTCTGATATTAAATAACTTGTTATGAGCATGTAATAAATAATATTTAATGCAAGTCTGTTACTAAATAACTTGTTATGAGCATGTAATAAATAATATTGAATGTAAGTCTGATACTACATAACTTGTTATGAGCATGTAGTAAATAATATTGAATGTAAGTCTGTTACTAAATAACTTGTTATGAGCATTTAATAAATAATATTGAATGTAAGTCTGATACTACATAACTTGTTATGAGTATGTAATAAATGATATTGAATGTAAGTCTGATATTAAATAACTTGTTATGAGCATGTAATAAATAATATTTAATGTAAGTCTGGTACCACATAACTTGTTCTAGTTTCAAGTATTAAACATTGTGGGTTACTATTCTTGTAATATGTATTGATAAACACAGACTTTGTTGGCCTTTATTGATCCAAGCTGCATGGTACAGGAACATAATTATGAGTCATGTGAGGAAACTCTTTAAAAACCTTTCACATGCATGCATAAAGTGAAATTTGTAGCAGCATTGTTACAATGTGTTAATGTGCATATTTTTATGTTGTGTTCACTTAAAAATTATTTTAGTAACATGCATAGATGTTATTCAATGTGAGCAATTCTTATTTTTAACAGATCTTCTGAGAAACTTGTATTTGTCTGTTGATTTATCTTACAGTAAAAAAAAAAAATTTTAATCAGATTTTTTCTTCTTTCTAGGTTCATGAATTATCCTCACACTAGCTATTGTCGACGTTACTCTTCATCATCAGCAGTCTTTTCTATTCCCTTGTCAGCAAAAATGGCCAGCATTGACAGTGAATTGGCAAAACTTACCACTAATGACTCCATCTATGGGACACTGTCTAATTTTGACATTGAGAAAAAGGTTGGAAAAGGACAATTTAGTGTTGTATATCGAGCTCGATGCAAGTTAGACAAAAGTATGGTAGCTCTTAAAAAAGTGCAAGTAAGTTTATCAAATTTACATTATATCTATAAGGATGATTGCAGACTTTTTGACTTTTCATTTACAAGTTATATGATAATTTTAGTTGTCATTGTTTGCTATATGTTACCCATTATGCAATATATACACAGTACCAGTTACTCACTGAGTTACTGAGAAAAAAGCCTATTCAATCATTTTGTATTCTGTTTAGCAGCATGTGGATCTACTATAAATAAATGTTTTTCTTTTTTTACCTCTTTGCATTCTGTGAATACTTTTACTGTTCCTAATATGAGTTAAATACTAAATATTAACCTCTGAACCTTAAACCCCAAACATGGGAAAAACTGTCACTGCAATATACGTTTTTGTGTGTGCCATTCATATACATTCCAGTGACAGTTTTTTCTTTATGATATTTAACAATATTCAATCTATGCACTGTTCACTTGATACTAAAGTGAATTTTAGAAACACTGAATTTAAGAAATGTGTTTAAAAAATTTTTAATATTTCTATAACAATACTGTGAATATACTCTGATGAAACAATGAAAAAATACTTAATTTTTACAACAAAAAAGACATCACAAAGTGGTAACATATTGTGGGCTTAATTAGAATAACAGACTGCACAATATGAATATAGCTGTGTGTGTGTGTGTGCTGCTTGTATTTTTACAAACCATGGTAACTGTATGCTGTATTATACCACTGATTTGTACATATCGTACATATATCATACCGACAAAATTATTTTTATGTAAACCATGTAAATCCTTTTTACTATTTTCGTTGGCATTTTGGGGAATAATATTAAAGAACTGAAGTAAGGAATTTCATAAAACCATTGTAGTGAGTGTCTCTAAAAATCCATACATTATGTACATATAAAGAGAATAAATATTTAAGTTTTTTGTTTTTGTAGTACTGGGCAATTCAAAATCAGAAGTTTAACTTGCTGAAACATTGGATGTGATAATTAAGTTAACCTTTACCACTTATTCAAGCAATGGGCAAGTTTGTTCATAGTGATGAAATTCAAAGGAACATTGTAACTGAAGGATTTTGATTATATATAGATATATACACACACACACACACACAAAATATTTTGTATAATCTTTGTTTTCAGATTTTTGAAATGATGGATGCTAAAGCTAGAATAGACTGTATGAAGGAGATTAATCTGTTACAGGTAAGTTTTTTCTGTTAATGTATAATAAAAAATATAATGCTTGTGCTTGGTCTTGATTTCTCTTCACAACACAATAACTACACAATTTCCAGTTAAATTTATCTATAGCATCTCTTTTCACTAATCAAGAGATAAAATTAAATATTACAACTCTCAACCTGAAACTAAAACCAACTAAGGAACATAGTCTAGGCTAAATGTTACTTAAAGATGCTGGACCATATGTTGTTAAAACCAGATAAGTAACAGAGGCTAGGCTAAATGTTTCATAGAGACACTGGAACATATGTTCTAAAACCAGAAAAAGAACAGAAGTTAAGCTATGTGTTACATAAAGAGGCTAGACCATATGTTGTTAAATTCAGATAATGAACAAAAACTAGGCTACATGTTTCATAAAGAAGCTAGACCAAGTGTTGTTAAAGCAACTAAGGAACAGAGACTAGAACATATATTGTTAAAACCAGATAAGGAATAGAGGCTCGGCTAAATGTTTCATAAAAAAGTCCAGACCATATGTTCTTAAAACTAACTAGGAAACAGAGACTATGCTATGTGTTACTTAGAGACTGGACCATGTGTTGTTAAAACCAGATAAGGAACACAAACTAGGCTACATGTTACTTAAAGAGGCTAGACCATATGTTGTTAAAACCAGTTAAGGAACAGAAGCTAGGCTAAATGTTATTTAAAGGGACTAGACCATATGTTCTTAAAACCAGAAAAGAACACAGGCTAGGCTAAATGTTTCATAAAAAGGCTAGATCATCTGTTGTTAAAGCCAGATGAGGAATAGAGGCTAGGTATGTGTTACTTAAAGAGGTTAGACCATAGGTTTTTAAAACCATAAAAGAACAGAGACTAGGCTAAATGTTTCATAAGGAGGCTAGACCATATGTTGTTAAAATCAGCTAAGGAACAGAAACTAGGCTAAATGTTATTTAAAGGGACTAGACCATATGTTCTTAAAACCAGATAAGGAACAGAAACTAGGCTACATGCTACTTAAAGAGGCTAGACCATGTGTTGTTAAAACCAGCTAAGGAACAGCGGCTAAGCTATCTGTTACTTAAAGAGGCTATACCATATGCTGTTAAAACCCGCTAGGGAACAGAAACTAGGCTATGTGTTACTTAAAGAAGCTAGACCATGTGTTGTTAAAATGAGATAAGGAACAGTGGCTAGTCTAAATGTTTCATAAAGAGGCTAGACCATATGTTGTTAAACCTAGCTAAGGAACAGAAATTAGGCTACATGTTAATTAAAGAGGCTAGACCATGTGTTGTTAATACCAACTACAGAACAGACGCAAGGCTATGTGTTACTTAAAGAGGCTAGACCATGTGTTGTTAAAAGCAGATAAGGAACAGTGGCTAGTCTAAATGTTTCATAAAGAGGCTAGACCATATGTTGTTAAAAGCAGCTAAGGAACAGAAACAAGGCTACATGTTAATTAAAGAGTCTAGACCATGTGTTGTTAATACCAACTATGGAACAGAAGCAAGGCTATGTGTTACTTAAAGAGGCTAGACCATGTGTTGTTAAAAGCAGATAAGGAACAGAGGCTAGGTAATTAATTGAGAATGGTGTTGTGAATTCCCATTTTCTTAAAATAATAATTATAGCATTTTGCAGGTATTTACTCCCGTGTTGTGTTACCCATTATCAGATTCTTCCATTTGGGTTTCATCATATCTGGTTCAAGTAAAACAAAACATCATTGTTAATTTTATAGCTTTTCATTTATAGTTTGAAGAACCAGAAAGTATTTTGAGTCATATAAAATAAAATAGTAAGTATTAGTAGATCATTTCTCTTTGACATTTGAAAAGAAAATATCTTACAACACTGATTGGCATGAGAGCTGACTCTGCATCAAGTTAATTACACACTGGTCTTTAGTTGGCTACAGATGAGAAATTATGTTTGTAGTAGAAAGGTTAAAAAAGATTTGTTTTTACTAGCTCATTCTATGTGGCATCTGTAGATAGAAAATTAACTGCTTAAGGCTTAAGAGAAACATCTATTTACTAACAGTTGGATGGAGCAAGTGACCTCTTAACACATTTACTGTTTTCTCAAAACCACCATAGACAAAATGATTAAATGCCTGGTAGTTAATAGTTAGGGGAAGAGGTTTTTATTTTACTGGGAAAAAAAGGAAACCAAACTGTTTAATCAAAACTGTCAAGTGAGCTGATATACATGTATTAAGAATTAGATGTAATATTTGAAATAGTTACTTGAAAACTTGTAGTCATTGTTTTGTATGCTGCATAAATCATGTCACGCGATACACACATTAACTCTAGTTTATACCAGAAACACAGCACCCATATGTTAGCTTATAAAATTATATTTTAGGGTTAATTTCATGTGATATAGTTAATTCTCACTATCTATATTCTTAGAAGCAAAAAAAAGTGAAATGCTCAAAATTAGAGCTGAGGAATTAATGGAACTTACTAATCAAATCAGTTGTCATGCTCATTAATTGATTACATTCAAGTGATTGATTATTGTTGTGAAATTGCTGTAAAAAAATATTTATTACTTTAAATTGTGGTGAATAAAACAACTTAAAATGTTACAAGTTGGGTATTCATACCTGTGATGGAAAGAGCACAGCTTGCTCATTGTATATCTTTGTGCTTAACAACAAACAAACATAATGACAGTATTTCAATTACTTGGGTATTTGGGGTAATCAAAAACAGAAATAAATGGAAACCATAATTTTGATTGACTTATTATTTTCATGAGCTACAACACCAATCGATTAAGCTGAACAAACCTGAATTACTCACATCTAATAATACAAAATCATAAGGGCAATATTTCAATTACTGGATAGTTAGAATAACTGAGAAATTTGATTGAAATTTAAGCATTCAAACATTAGTTATGAGTTTTTTTTGTATGTAATATTTCATACTTCTTTTGTTTTGTTTTTCTCTTCAGCAATTAAATCATCCCAACGTCATCAAATATTTGGCATCTTTTATAGAAGATAATGAATTACACATTGTTCTTGAGTTAGCTGATGCAGGAGACCTGTCAAGAATGATTAAGGTGAGTTTGGGATGTAATGTCTTTGTAATTGTGTAACTGTATTCACAGAATTATCAAGGGCTTGTGGATGAAACTGACATTGTCTAGGAGTTCAAGATCATGTGTCTTAATATATATATATATATATATGTATGTGTGTGTGTGTGTATATAGTTAATGTTAGGTTAAATGTATAGACCTTAATCTCATTCTCTACTGTGTTACAGTTCTAATTACTTTAAGTATATGTCTGTGTGTTTAGTCTTTGTAAAAAAAAAAAAAAACCTTTTTACTGTCAATCTTGTGTACTTACAAAAAGGTTGATGTGTTGTTAGGTTAATATCATGATATAAACATCTGACTTCTCATACCCTTGTACTCTATAGACTATCTGGCAACATTTTATATTAACCACTGTAAAGTTTAGGCCTAACTGAGGTACCTTGTAGCAATGTTTTAGTTTTATTACTTGGTGGTTTGTAATTCAAGCTTCATAAGCCAGTTTATATTATCACTCATAATACGTTTAGTTATTGACAGTCTGATTTCAGCTAATACACCTTTCTTTGGAGAGCAGAACAATTAGTGTATTTTTGTTATTGTTTATATGTGCATGCAGATCTTCTTCCCTTTTTTGTGTTTTATGTGTTCTATTGATACTTGTGAGAGACATAGCACAGATAGCCCACTGTATAATGTTGGGTTTAACAACGAACATGAAGATGGGCTAATTGTTTTTATAAGTTTCTCTTGTGTAACTTAGTTTTTTAGCAAAAATAGCTAAATGATTGCTTAAGGCAACTTATTTTATATGTGTTCATCGCTGTTAAAATACAGGAAATTAACCATTACAGTAAATAATTTATTAGGGACAACAGAGAGTTCTTATTTCCATTTTTTTTAAAAGACTGGTTGCTCAGAGATGAGACAGGTTTGAGAGAGAGTTTCATTTGCAATGTGTGTCATGAAATTTTGATATTTTATTTTTTTTAAAGAATATTGTCATACATATACATAGTATTTATTATGGGCAAAAAAAAGCATTTGATATGTTGGCAAAAAATTGAAATACTATATATATATATATGCAAATAAGGTAACAAAATAGGACACTAAGTGTGAGAGGGCTCAAGAGAACATGTTCAATCTATGCGTGACAAAATGGCTAGAGAAACATTGAATTTTACGTAAATACAGGCAAATTCTATATGTGTTTGTGTGTATGTGTATATATATTTATATGTGTGTGTGTGTCAGTAAAGATTTTCAAACTATTTACATTATAAAAATATAGTTAGATGATTTTTATAGCAGTTATTAAACATTTATTCAGACTATTATCAGGGCACTTCTATGTGTATATAGTGTACATTTTCATATGACAACAACTTGAGCATTTATCATTAAAAGTTGTAATTGTGTTCATAAAAATTATATAAAAAATTTTTAACTTCTACTTCCATTGTTCAATTGAATTATCCAGATTTAGTGTTAAGAATCAAATTCAAAATATAGAATAAATCAACCAACTTTAATCTTTTAAAAGAACTAGAACCACCTGACTAGAAATAGTATGATATTTAGATAAATGTAACTGATTTGAGATAGTTTGAGAATGCTATGCAATGATAAGGTTAAAGAATTAAGACTTTAAGTTTTAAACTCATATACTGACTTAGATAGTCAAGCTTTGATTATTACACTGTCTGTATTGTATATTTGACAGCATTTCAAACGACAGATGCGACTGATTCCAGAGAAGACAGTTTGGAAGTATTTTGTGCAGCTTTGTAGTGCTCTAGAACATATGCATTCAAAACGGGTCATGCACAGAGGTAAGTTTAGTTGCTGGTGAAATTTTTTTGGGATCTTACAGTACGTTTTGGATTACCAAGACTCCAGAACATGTACATTCAAACTGGTCATGCACAGAGAGGAGTTTAGTAGCTGTTAAAATTTTCTTGGAATCTTACAATACGTTTTTGATTATCAAAACTGGTAACGAAGCCGTGGTGACCATATATCATGGTTAGTAACCTATAGGTTCACCTGAGCCTAATTATTAATTATATAATTTTTCTAATGAGATACTAGTTATTAAGGACTGTGTGTACATCATTAAAAGGAGCTGAAATTTGGTTACGGGTTTTTTAGTTAGAAAAAATATACTACTGATTCATCAGCAGTCTCCCATTAGGCCTTGAACCAACTATCTGAATAGTTTCATGATGGAGTTATCTGAGTTTTACTGACTTCTACGATAGGTTGACTGAGTATGCTATTAGTTTGGTGACTAAAGAAAATTTTTATCTGTTTCTTGTGTGTGGTTCATATCTAATTATTATAACACTATTCCATGTTTCTGTATGGTCTACGTCTCTGACTTGGTGTGCTATTATAGTATTATAGAATGTTGTATGTATATTATGCTCTTTCATTCAGTATAATGTAGTCCACATTAACAAGGGATGTTTGATGTGTTATATCTGTGATCATGTAGTGTTTTGGCTTTTTGTGTTTGAATTTTTTTGTATGTAGTACTGCAGTATGAAATATATATGTTTGAAGTTTTTATTACTCTTTAAAACCAAATTACAAACTAAAGTAGTAGTTATGTGGATAGAATTGTGAGGAAAAATTGAAATAACCTTTTCTATGCGTGCGTTTGCAGGTCTGGGAAATCTTGAATTTTGCTTCAAGTATCAAGAAATGTTTTGGAAAAACTGAGACCACAGTGAAATGTGCTTAGGTCTTTCAAGTACTTGTTGTCCTTCAAAATAGAAAAGTAACAATTTTTGAATTGTGAATTAAAATAAAAACAAATCCTAGGAAGCATGCCCTAAGAATGTACTAGCCGAACTTTGAATTTTCTAAGCATGCCATGTTAGATGACCAATAACTTTGTACTGGTATCATTATTTTTCTTCACATACTAACAAGATAACTGAGAATTGTTGTATTATAAGTGTAAGATGTAAAAGTTAACTAATTAATAATCATTGAGTTTATGGGTCAAACCTAGTGTAACATAGATTAAATGTTTGGAATATGCTAAGTAAAATAAGTGAACTGATATGCATACGTATTACAGATATCAAGCCCGCAAATGTATTCATCACTGCCCAGGGAGTTGTGAAACTGGGTGATCTAGGGCTTGGTCGATTTTTCAGTTCAAGAACCACGGCAGCTCATTCCTTAGGTAAGATAAAATATTGTAAGTTATAAAAGTGATAGCTACACTCCCTGCCTGAAGATTTTATGTTGAACTTGGCATGTAAAGATATTTGTAGTATGTGAAACCAGCAAATAAGCTTTAGGTGTAGTGCTTGCTTTAAATTCAGCATTGTGTGATATTATACTTTGTTGATTATAGTTTTCTGATTGGTCTTCTTTTCTTTAGTTGTTAATAGAAAAAAACAGCAATTTTAACTTGTACAGATAGAACAACAACACAAAATACTATTACTTGTAGACCTACTAAAGAGTGTATAAACATAATGATTATATTAGTCACCAAATTATTGTTATAGTATCAGTTGTTAAAGTGATTTTTTAAATGGTTTTAAATACTCAGTTTTGTGTACAAATAGGCAGCCATGGCTGCAAGAAAATTGAATACAACATGTGCTGAAGAATTTAACACGTAGTTAAAGATTTCGTTTAGTTTTTTATAACAAAAACTATATATTCTGAATTCTAATAGTTTACCTGTTGTAATAAGGTATGATTGTCTTCAAAACCTAATACATCATTATTCCTTGAAAAAAAAGAGAATTTCCTAAGTTAGTCTACAAGAATGACAGCTAGAATTTTATTAAATTTGTTAACTGTTGTTAGAGAGCTCTTATAAATTATGTTGGTGGATAGAGTTCTGAGATTTTCAATGGCAGCAAGTTATGAGTAGAGCTGGGCAATGAATTAATACAATCAATTAGTATTACTTAAAATATTCAATTATCATAAAGGATTAATGTAACAAAATAATAAACTAATCATAATTAGTATTTTTGATTATTCTATCTATTCAAGTAATCAAAATGTTGATATTATGATTTCTTATTATAAATTCCAATTAATCAAGGTTGTTCAACTTAATCAAAATTAATGTTTTCGATCATTACCGTTTTTGACTATTCTAATTATCCAAGTCTCATGTGGGAATGATTGGTTAGTTGAATGTAATTTATTAATTATTTTCAAATTTCACATAGCCCCCAGTGGCTACGAACTTGTATCCAAAGTGAGAGGAAAAGTTGGTTCAAATTTCACATAGCCCCCAGTGGCTACGAACTTGTATCCAAAGTGAGAGGAAAAGTTGGTTCAAATTTCACATAGCCCCCAGTGGCTACGAACTTGTATTCAAAGTGAGAGGAAAAGTTGGTTCAAATTTCACATAGCCCCCAGTGGCTACGAACTTGTATCCAAAGTGAGAGGAAAAGTTGGTTGTAGTCTTAAATTTATTGTAAGAAATACCTGACATGATGTCAGAAACTTAATAGAAAAGGTATCAAGTGGTCTGATGAATTTAAGAACAGTTGTGTATGTGAGAATACAGTACTTTATTTCTCAAAGCCTGTGTCATAAAATCTCAAAGTGAATGGAACTTTAGTCATTTGACCAGTGGTAACTAGAAACTGTTATACATATGAGAGTCCACTATTTAAATTGTACTGATTTCTTCAGTAAACATTAAAATTTTATATCTACAAAATATGGCCAAACAGACTGGTATGGAGCTACAATTCCATGGTTTTAGTCTTTTGAATTCAAAATATATAAGAAAAACTCCCACTCTGGTCAAGAAAGAGTTTGCGGTGAGTGGTGTTGAATAGCTGAATTCCCTCTAGCCTATCACTTTGAAGTTAGGGGTGGCTATCTCGTATAGCTTTGTAGAAAATCCAACAAAACAAACATACAAAATATATTTGTTGCTTCATTTAAGAATTTTTAAGTCTTTAAAGAACTCATAATATTCAGGAATGATATTGTAGATTATGGAATAATGACAGATAATTTACTTAAAATACATAACATTAGAATGTGGCTAAGTTTTAAAAATACTCTCTTGTATATGGCTGTAATGAATTAATACTTCCATTTTCACATTCCAGTTTGTACAGTTAAAGTTTTGAATATGTTGCAAGGCACTAAATTAACTTATTGATTTTTATTTCCTTCAAATAATTATAATAACAATTTGAATATCCTTGGTTTACTGGAATATATATATGTGTGTGTGTGTGTGTGTGTTATATTGTAGCAGTGTGTCATTAAAATTTGTATAATTTTGGTTTACTGGAATATATATATATATATATATATATATGTGTGTGTGTGTATGTTGTAGCAGTGTCTCATTAAAAGTTGTATATTCTTGGTTTACTGGAATGTGTATATGTGTGTGTGTGTGGAGAGAGAGAGAGATGACTATTTTTAATTGTGCTTATCTTATCTCAGTGGGAACCCCATATTATATGTCACCTGAGAGAATTCATGAACATGGATACAATTTCAAATCAGATATTTGGTCTCTTGGCTGTTTGTTGTATGAGGTAAGGAATTATTTAAAATATACATATGTGTGTGTGTTGAATGACAAAAATTGTTTATTATAAGAAATGTGGTTGAGTGGGGTCCAGTGGTTAGTATGCTGGACTGTGGAGCTGAGATTCTACAGTTTGCATGCTGTTACCACAAAACCTATAGCATCACATTTTGGGACCATGGAGGAGTTATTAGAATAACAAGCTAAATACCTCAATTTGTTTGACACGAGTAGCCAAAGAGTTAGCAATGAGGGCTGTTTACTAGCTGCCTTACCTCTAATCAATCACTTCAAAATTAGGGATGGCTACTGCAGATACACTTCACAAAACTTTGCATAAAATTCAACAAACAATAAACAATTTCATAGCCAAGCTTGTTTGGATGTTGTTTAATATTTTGACTTAATGTATTGACAGCTGGGATGGTTACCTTATTACTTTGATCTTGTGTACTTTTTCTTGAAGTTTTTGAAATAAACCTATTGTATTCTTCCATAATTTATATCAGGCAGGTCTGTCTGGAAGCTAAGTATAGTATTTATAGTATAACAAATGTGTGTAGGGTAACCCCTTAAGTTGGTAGTGCAGGAGAAAATATCCTACACCCTTGATGGGGGGGGGGGGGTATAAGTGGGGTTTACTTCATTTTCTACAATATGTAAATGAATTATAAAAACTAAATTGTCTTCAGCCTTGCAGATTGCATAGCTATTTACCAAGTGACTACCTTAGAAAAGACACTATTTGTAATGATAAGAAACTTCCTTATTGATGGAAGATGTAGATAGACTAATGATGAGTAAAGGACACATTTTGGAGTGATAAGAAACTACCTTATTGATAAAAGTTGTTGATAGACTAATGATGAGTAAAGGACACGTTTTGGAGTAATAAGAAACTTCTTTATTGATAGAAGATGTAGATAGACTAATGAAGAGTAAAGGACACGTTTTGGAGTGATAAGAAACTACCTTATTGATAAAAGTTGTAGATAGACTAATGATGAGTAAAGGACACGTTTTGAGTGATAAGAAACTTCCTTATTGATAAAAGTTGTACACATAACTAATAGTATCACATAGGGAACTTTTGTAACTGCATTGTGTCAACACAGTATGCAAGCAATGCTACATTTGGGAACAAGTACACAAGGATTGATAGTGCACAGCACAGAGATTTTAAATTTGGTAGTATTCTTGCACTATTCTGCTGGTATAAAGGAGATACTTCTGTAGTTCTGTAGGAACGTGGTAATAATGTATACATGGTAATGTGTGTTTATGGTAATAATGTATATATGGTAATATGTGGAGATATAAGGAGAGCAATACTTTAAATGTTTTTACATTTTTATTGAGATGGTGATTTTAATAATAAAGTTATTATTCATCAATGTCTTTCGATTGGTGCTATTATTAAAACTTCTAAAGATTTGAGTTTTGGACAGTTATGAAATAACAGAAAATTGCTTTTATTGAATATGTACACTACATTTTTAGAACTTTGTTTTTAATTTTTCCTCCAGATGGCAGCTCTACAATCACCATTTTATGGTGAAAGAATGAACTTGTACTCACTTTGTAAGAAAATTGAAGAATGTGACTACCCACCTCTACCAGCTGACATCTACTCTGAAGAGGTGAATAACTTTGGGTGTCAGTAAAAGCTGCTTATAGAAATCAAATTATAGTTTTGTAAACATATAAAAACTTTTAAGCACATGAAATTGTTTCTCTTTTCTCTTTATCCCAAAATAAAACTAGACTTTACCCGTTATACTAAAAGTTCTCAAATACAGTTTTACAAATCCTCTTGTCCAATAGTGGATCAGTAGTAAAACTTGGGGTTCAATTCCCTGTGGTAAACAAAAAAGATCATTGTGTAGCCTTGCTATAAAAAAATAAATTAATTTAAATATTGTCAGAATACTTTCTTATTTAGGCCAGTCAGTTTGAAAAAAAATTAAAAGAACAAGAAAAAGAAATCAGAAAGATTACTAAAGAAAAAAAAACCTAAATATGCTTATGAAGACAAATTTCTCAAGCAGATATCTTAGGCAGAGTATTTGTATTAGGTTGACTGGAAAAGGGTGCCTCTTAGAGGAACATATATTGGTGACTATACAATCTACTAATTCTGCTTGAATGTAGACTATGATGTTTCAAAAGGCAAAGACTATTTTCAACAATATTAACTAGAAGGAAAAGTTTGAACTTAAAAGTAAATCTTCAAAATTCTCTCAGTTAATTTCCAAAGTTTTTGAAATAATAATGTGTTTTTAACTTAGACCACACTTTATGAAGTTGTATTGAGAGACTACTTATGATTATTTGGTTCCAATAACCATAATTTAAAATATACATCTACATGTACAAACTGATCAATTTTGCAAACATTAGCAGTTTTGAATAGTCAATTAGGCTTAGCATTTCAGTTTTATTAATTAATCTTTTTACTAATGAATCAGAAGACATTTGCAGAATTGGAATATAAATTTTTGTTATATATTTTATGACCCAAGTTGTTTTATAGTGTTTAGAGCTGGTAAAGTATCAAGTGTAGCAGTCAACTCCTAAGCACCATAATCAATGTTCTCTTACGTATCTGCTTGTTTGATAATTTCCGGTAGAAATTCTTTCCGAGGAACTTCAGTGATACAAGTCCTTTCTTAATTAAACCAGTTTATTCTTTCTCGATACAACTTTTTGTAATACATAGAATTTCCACAGTCAGTTTAAACTTAACAACCTTTATAACACACGCTATAAATCACAGTGATTCACATACTTTACTTACGGTGCCTACTGTTCGCGTGACTCAATTATCTATCTGCTGCTGGGTTTATTTGGCAGGCTTGTATATATACTAAAAAAGAGGGCATCTAGATCACACTCGAGCTGGCGGGCAAATTCATGATCCTTCGAGAAACTCCAGCGTGCATGCTCCCAGCATCGCGTGACTTCCGCTGTTGTAACAGTTCCAATCCATGTTACTGCTGCTTTTAAAATCTAATTATTATTATTTATTCTGCTTTACTATTTCATCACAAAATAAAACTGCTTATTAAAATTGAAGTATTCTTGTAGTTGCAGTAAAGTTAACTACTCATGACTATGGCTTTTGTTTTGGTATGAAAACTTTAGAGAACAATTTAAATCAACATTACATTGTCACTTCATTGAAATAAATATTTTTCAGTCCATTTGATTGGTGAAATATAGCCTTGGATGCCTTAGTGGTACTTCAAGACTTTCTTTGGTCTTGTAAGAAGCAGTCAGTGAATATTGGATCAATGAAATTATTCTGTTAATAGCTTCATCTGTACTAATGATTTTATATGTTAAAACCATGCCATCTAACCAAAGCACGTGTCACTGCATTTCAAGTTACTGTTTTTTGATTTCTTTGGTGCATTTTAGAATTTAGAAAGTTATAAGAAGTTGCAAATCAAAAGTAAGACATTTAATGTCAGTGTAGGTGATGCTTTAATGTTAACTTAGCATTCTTCATTGTGAATTGTTGCAAGAACCAGATTAATAACTGTCAGTTTCAACATTCCACATTGGAGTGTTAATTGATACTGGAACAGTTTTTGTAGTGAAGGTGCTAAAAACCATTGAACACAATTGAAACCACCTGTGTTTGTACATCAACTAGCAAGTACTGCAGCGCCCTCATCATTCCTATTTGTTGCACTTTTGAAACTATCTTTAATACTCTGAAACTAGATGTGGTTACAATTAAAATGTCACTGATTTTTATAAAGTTTCAAAGGAAATTTAAATAGATTTTCTAGTTGACAACAATTTAGTGTAGTAAATACAGTGGAATTCTACTATTTTTTGTGCTATTAATTTCTTTAAATTGAATAAACTTGTAAAAAGATGAAAACTGTTTTTGTTTTTAGCTGTGATTCATGTATCCACATGCAAGTGATTATTTTATCTAAACTATTCTCTGTGGTATATTTATAAATTTGTTTGATTAATTACTCTTACAAGAGAGCTAAGAAAACAACTTGTAACTCAAAAAAAATTTAATTTTGTCACCAGTGATGGGCAGAATACAAATAGTCCATTTTGTAGCTTTGTGCTTAACAACAGTCAAACATTATGCCAATATTTAAATTACTAAGATAGTTAGAATAATTGAAACACTAATTTTGATTTGTTGATTATTTTTGTGAGTCATAACACTAATTTAATAAACTGAACCAACTTGAATCAATCAGTGGTAATAATGAAAAATTATAGTAACAAGATTTTGATTAATGAATAATTGGAGTACCAAAACAGTAGTAATCACAAACACTTTTTCAATTTGTTGATCATTTTTGTGATACTAATCAATTTAATCATGATTTTGATTACTGGATTGTTAGGATAATCGAAAACAGTAGTAACCGTAATCACCAGTTGGCTATTTTCCTGATTTAATCGTAGTATTGATTAAATGATTATTTTATATGACGCTAATCAATGTAATCAATGCTCATAGTTAATCAAGATTATCATCTAGCCCTACTTTTGATAGTGTGTAATTATCTTACCCCAAAAAGGTAAAAGTTCTTTACTTATACAAGTATCAAAATAAACATATTGATTATACAGGTGTATAGACTTGTTACTTGCAGGGCTTGTTTTAAATTCATTGTTGATTATAATCCATTATGTTCTATAAATCCAAGTATTTGTTCTATTTATAGGGTAAAAACTTAGAAATACACTTTAGAGTGTAGACAGCAGCACATATGGTAGCACTTAATTAGGTTTTTCATATTCTAAAAAGCCATTATGAACATTTTTCTTACTCTAGTTGAGAGATTTGGTAGCTGCATGTATTAACCCTGATCCAGAGAAAAGGCCAGACATCACATATGTATACAAAATAGCTCGAGAAATGCATCAGAAGTTTTCCTCCTCTTCAAGTGCTTCTCCATCTCCTGTCCCTATTATGCTGTCTTCGGCTTCCTCGAGGGACGATGCAGACTCCTCTGTACGAGCAATTCCTCGTTCTTCGTCTTCGTGAGGAATCCACTGTAGCCTTATAAGCACCATCCATTGGTTAAGTAATATATCCTGTGATCAGATATCTGTATGTGTACCAGTCAAATGTTATGTAAATATATACACTAGGTGACTTTTGTTTGTTTGATAAAATACTCTTAATGAGATAATCTCAGAACATGAAATAATAAAAAAATTCACAAAGTTTTTTTTTCTTTCTCCTCAGGCATTTATTGATTCATTTCTGCCATTTTCAACAGATGTTTCAGACTTTTTGTGTAATGAGCCATTTCACGACAAGCTCTTTTAAGATGTTAAATTTTTTATTTTAAAAAACTGTTCGTGCATTTAGCAAAAGTAGGAGAAGCATGGAAAAAGACAACACATTTTAGTTATGACCCTTAACAAAACAATAATGCTTTTATTTGTAGTGACTATGAAATTGCCTTTACAAATATTTTAACTTAGTGTGCTTGAAACTGGAAGGAAATAATTTGGAAATCCTACATTGAGAAAAAAGTAAAATTTCACTTTTGAGAAGTGTGCATCATTGAATATGCAAAATTTAATTTGTGAAACTAAATATGTTAAAAAGAATTACTACTAATATGTGAGCAACTGTGATTCCATTTCTGTTCCAGGGTAAACTTATATAGACCTGGTGGATAGGATGTTTGACTCGCAATATGCAGGTCATGGGATTGAAACCTGTTACTGAACATACCCATTCAGCCATGATAGGAGCATTATAATATGATTGTTAGTTCTAGTATTCTTTGGTAAAGAATAGCTCAACAGTTTTCTGTGGGTGGTGTGTACTAGCTGCCTTTCTTCTAGTTCTATCACTTGGTTAACTATTGCAGATGGCCTTCGGGTAGCTTTGCACGAAATCCAACAAAACAAACCTACCTTATAATTATATCCTTAGCAAGTAATAAATTTACTTAGGTACCAGTTATTATGTTGCAACTTGCAAATTATTATTAGAATTACTGTTTTTAAAGAAAATAAGTGGTAATGTTCAAACTGTATAAAAATAAGTAATTTTCTTAAATTAATTATAGTCAGTCTAGTGTAATTGTACTCATCAAACATTTATCCAGTATAACTGGGTATAAATTATTTGTGTGAGAGATTAAAAAGTGCACATAATATAATAATTCCTATACAAATAAATTAAATAGGTGATACATGTTGTCAAATGTGGTTAAATAAGAATCAAAATATTTCACTTTTGAAGTACGGTGATCATTAGAAATAAAATAAATGTTAAAAAACAGTTGTCCCCCAGAAAGACCAGGGTTAGATTTTACAAGTAGATGGTAATCATTAGAAATGACTGAAATTTTTGAGTTAAAAAAAAACGATTGTATAAATGATTAGGTACACGTTTGATGGTGAGAGAACCTTGTCAAAACGTTGTACATTTTCTGTTATGTTAAACTTACATTTGAGTTTTTCTTCATTACCCATTCAAGCCGTCTCCAAGCATTACACATTTACTTTATTTGAAGTCAAGAAATGTTGATTTCACTTTCTCACATTACTAAAACTGTAATCACCTCTGTTGTCAGATTTGTATGAGACATGGATGCACAATAATATAAAGCTTGCTTTAAATAAGTTATTATTGCCTCATTGTTTTATATTCTATAATTACTGGTATTTCATACTAACTGAAACGTTGGCAAGAAAAAAAATACAGTTAATGAAGGTTTTGCAGTTTTCAGCTGATGTTACATCTAATCAAGTTAAGTAAGAAATAATGATAAAGTGTAGACGTAGTATTTTTCCTGAGAAGGTTTTGTTAAGTAAAGCCTTAGATGGTAATGTTTGAAGATTCTTTAAAATATTTGTTTTTCAAAAATACACGTAGTATTAACAAGTTATACAAAAAACTGTTATAGAGAGAGAGCTTTTGAGAATTGGTCAGGTAATGCTCATATTGTTCAGTACAATTAAATTTAACTGAGAATGAATACTGTTTTTACTCTTAAAATTATCATAAATAGGTCCGTGTTACAACTGATAGTTGACAAGAATAACTTTAGAAAATCCATGGATTCTTTCTTATTCTATGAATTACCTTAAATGGGCCTAAGTTAAAACTAGTAGTTGACAAGGAAAGCTTTAACAAAATCAGATTCTTTCTTACTGCTCTGGGAATTATCTTAAATATGGTTGTGTTACACCTCTGATAGATTTTAAGTTTTAAAAAATACTTTGAATTTTCTCTTGCTTTAGGTATTACCTTAAATGTAGCTGTGTTACTACTAGTAGTTGACAAAGAAAGCCTTAAATAACACTGCTTGGTATTTGTGTGTGAAAAGAAGCTGATCCCGTGGTAATGTGTACTAGTCTCACACCTTAACAAACACATACATATATTATTTGATCCCGTGGTAATGTGTACTAGTCTCAAACCTTAATGAACACATACATATATTATTTGATTCTGTGGTAATGTGTACTAGTCTCACACCTTAACAAACACATACATATATTATTTGATCCCGTGGTAATGTGTACTAGTCTCAAACCTTAATGAACACATACATATATTATTTGATTCTGTGGTAATGTGTACTAGTCTCACACCTTAACAAACACATTCATATATTACTTGATCCCATGGTAATGTGTACTAATCCCACACCTTAAATGAACACATACATATATTATTTGATCCTGTGGAAATGTGTACTAGTCTCACACCTTAACGAACACATACATATATTACTTGATCCCATGGTAATGTGTACTAGTCTCACACCTTAACGAACACATACATATATTATTTGATCCCGTGGTAATGTGTACTAGTCTCACACCTTAAATGAACACATACATATATTATTTGATCCTGTGGTAATGTGCACTAGTCTCACATCTTAATGAACACCTACATATAATATTTCTAAAGCTGTAGTAACGTAAGTCTTCTCACATTATGTATAATCCTTTTTTTATATTACAGTCTAAAATTATTATAACATGATCCTTATGCATTCTATAACATCCAGGAAATTCCCCATCCTCTTACAGTTTGTCCAAGAAAAGAAAAAAGAGGCTATTCTTGAAAGACCCTAGTATTTTATGCTAATATGTTATGTCTTTTTATGTATTGAGATGTTTGTAATATTCTAGGTTAGTTCAATTAGTTTTTTGCCACTGTATGAACTGTATTATTTTCAAGTAGTCCTAAAAACATTCAACTTTTGTTTCATTTTTAACAGTCCACTTCCAGAAGGTATTGATTGTTAAAGTTGCAAATCCCAATGAAGGCCTTACCCAGTTTCTTTTAAGATGGTTAGTTCATTTCAGTTATATTATTGGGGATGTTATTTATCACTGATACATCTCTCTCTTGAAGCATGCTCATCTGAGGGACTTCCAGTGGATGTTAAAGAACCATAAAAGAATAGTATTGTTAGACATCCATGTTATTTTATTCAGGGCGAGTAAAACCAGTGGGGTTTCTTTGTCACTTTAATCTCCTGTCTGTTGGCGTATGTTACTCTTCTGCTACTGTATTTGTGATCATATTATGCTGATTAATTTGGACAATTCCACAGTGGTATCTTAATTCATCTACCTTGGAGGTACTTGTCCAGAGATTTCTGGTTTTAGATGTAGATCTCCCCCTTTTTTTTTTGGCCTCTTATCCATTCCTTTACTCTTCAGCCTCTAATATGCCTAAGTTGAAGGTTTTATCCCAGTCATATTCTTTCTGCACAGCAGTTGATCCATCCATGTAGTGTTCTGCTGATTTTAAGGTATTCTGAGTATTAACTGTGCTTGAGACTTTACTAATTGTATGTTGTTAATTACTTTCTTTGGTTCCTCATCCTTAACTGCCTTCATAGAAGTGATACATCATTGGACACATAGAATATGGTGGGGAAAGTTCTTGGACAGCAGAACGTCGGAGTATTGGCTAGCTGTTCATCCAAACTATTAATTTAAAAAAAGAGTTTTGGCACAGAGTCGCTTATCAAAAACTAGTCATTTTATAAGAAAAATGTGTTTATGCTATATGAATATTCATTCTCTTTCAAACTGTGTACATATATAGAAATCATTGTGCAACAACACACTATGGTTTAAGAGAAAGGTGAAGTTTGATATGTAGAAATAATACCTATTAATAAGAGATTAAGTGCTTGTGTCCAAAGTTAAACATTAAGAAATTTACTAAAAATGTATTTTCAAAGCTGTGACTAAATTTGTGATAATAAATTGACATAAAATATCATTGCTTGAATCCACCTATTTTATATTATTTTCCAATTTTATCCCAAGAAACGACGTCAACTAATCGTAAAACAATTGCTTGTTTATGAATTAGTTTAAATTCCATTAAAAAAATTACAACATAAGTTAAACAATGCATGGCGGCATTTTATTGTAAATTACTATCCAGAAGCGTTCCAAAGATTCAACATTACTAAATAGTTATTGTCTAATCATTCAGTTTAAGGCTGGTTTTCCATTTTGTTTCCATGATGACAATTATTAGCTACTTTGAATCATATAAATATTTTAATGAAAAGAGCCTATAACAACATCTTTAGCAAAAAAAATAAAAACTTGTGTTTGTTGTGTTATGTATGCTACATCACATCTGTTTACATGCTTTATCTTTATGTGACTGTTAATGATCATGATAGTTATCCAAGAACCAAATCATACAATTTGATAAAAGGCCTTTGCAGTAGTAGTAATTTACAAAATAAAAAAGAACCAAGGATTAAGTTGGCACGTTTTAATGAATTGGTAAGAAAAATATACATTAATAAAATAATCATTGATTTGTATGTATTCATCATAACCCAATGAAAAACATATCTTACAGGCTCTGTCATTATACTTGAAACATGTACTTCAAAATACATGTTAAAAAATAAAAGATGCCAGCCATCATAAATTAAAAATATTTTGCACAATAAATAGTTTTTGTGACTAAAGACAATTGTGTGTTTCATTAGCATGCTAGTAATTATTATCAATGCATGTTGATAATCTAAAGAGTAGAACAAGTGTATTGAACAAAAATGAAATCATGATGGTGATAGTGTAAATTTGAATTAATAATTACATAATCACAGTATACGAGGTTTCTGACATGGATAAAACCATTTCCACACATTAAAACATGCCTAGAATTTTAGCCAAGATGGCCTTATTATGATAGTTTTGGGATGAGTGTGCCAGACTGTTTATTTGAAGATTTTTTGTTCATGTCCCATTGTTACAAAATCATACATCACACTTGTAGGGCCATGGATGCATTATAAGAATGACACTCAAATCCCACTCTTTGATTATAGTTGGTAGTGGGTGATGTTGACTTGCTACCTTCCCTCTAGTAAGTCAGTTGAAAAGCATTATAAGTATGACACTCAAATCCCACTCTTTGATTATAGTTGATAGTGGGTGATGTTGACTTGCTACCTTCCCTCTAGTAAGTCAGTTGAAAAGCATTATAAGAATGACACTGAAATCCCACTCTTTGATTATAGTTGATAGTGGGTGATGTTGACTTGCTACCTTCCCTCTAGTAAGTCAGTTGAAAATTAGGGACAGTTAGCCCTAGTGTAGGTTTGCACAAGTTATGTAACATAAGATTATTAGTTTCTAATGGTAGTGTTTAAACTCTATATTACAGTAAAACAGTGTTAGAGAACATTCTATTTTATACATAGATTATGTTGCAGTAATATATGATACAGGATTAATATTAACTTAAATGTTATAGTATCCATTAAGAATTGTTACATAGCTCTAACATTCACATAGTTAAGAACTGTTCTGCTTATATTCAGGCATCATGATTGATGTAAATTAATGTATAATTTGAACACAGGTGACATAACTGTACTAATACATTTTTAGTTTCAGTCTAAAAACAGTTTGTTGGTGATGAACAAATACTTGAGATTAACATGTGTATTTCAAAACATTGTGTGTGCATTTTTAAAATTTTAGACTGGCTATAAAGAGGCCAGTAATGATAAATATGATTTAAACTCTCATAATTGTTCTGGTGCTTTAGTAAACTGATTCTAAAGGATTTATAGAAACAGCGAGTAATTATGAGCTGTAATAAAAGCTCTGGTATTATTTAAGTATGATTAAAAGTCATCCTGTAAGGTAAAACCAAACTTTCTTAACAAAATGTGCATTAGTTTATAAAACTAGCAAGAGTAGATGTTATAGATAGCAGAGAACCAGTAATTATATATATGTTACTTGTTTTTGCTTTATAAAGAAAGTCAAAATACTGAAGTTTCAGTTACTGAACTTTGTAGGAAAAATCAAAGGTAGTCACCCTATTTATGCACAGGCCTATTGCATTGATATTTTGTGTATTTACAATATTAAGAATCTTCTTAGTATTTAGAAACCTTTATAATAATAAAAAAACAGCCCAATTTGTGTACTGTTGTATGGCCAAGGTAGTAATTCATGCTTGCTGTATGTAGTAAATGCAGTAGTAACACAATACCAATTTATATGTGTTTTTAAGCTTGTATAGCTATGGGGGTGGAATACTGTTCATGTGTTTTTGTCTATAATATGGATATTTAAATTATTACTGACACTACTAAAAATCTATTTCTTTAATGAATTAAATTGTCATGCTTGTATGAATTGGGCTTAAATCCATTTATCAAGAGAAAATTAATTTTAAATAGCTTAAACAGTTAGTACGTTTTATAGATCAAGCAACAGACACATTCTATTTCTTTCTGCAGTTCTTGAGTTTTAAGAGAGAATTTGTGTAGTTTGGATCAACCGTGTTTTACCCTTTAACTTAGATAAATTATATTTTTGCATGATCAATACCTTATACAGTGTAGATAACTTGAAAGAAGTTTACAAGCTTAGGAACAAAGATCAGAGTTGTTCAAATGTAGGAACACATAATTAAATTACTGAATTACAATTTGAAGTTGTATATTTGTCACCTCAAGAATAATTTATCTAACAAGTGGAGAAAACATGTGAAAGGATTTTCAAACATATATCAATAGGTAACAGCTTTGTCATTCTGTGGTAGAGCTCCTTCACTGATGTGATATCGTGTGAACCTGGGCTGCAACATTGTATTTATGCCCTCTGACAATAAGCCTGAAAAGAAAAACTAACGGAGATGATGTGTTTGTAAGTTATTAGTTCCAAATCTAATCAACGAGTTGCGAATAAGAGAATTTTTAGCACATACTAAAACTACACATTATTATCCTCCAAATAGAACATTTATAACAATGTTAGTGTGCACTAACTGATCAGGAATATTATCTACTTATTTGTGTGTGTAAGGAATAAAAAAACTTATGATTGATACTATAGTTTGTTGTAATTTGTTTTTGTAAAACAGTAACTATCCTGATTTACAAAATAAATGTTATTCCCAATACTTATGATAAATCTATTCTTTCATATGATTTTTTTTGGCTGAATTAATTTGTTCATAAAGTACACAAGTTGTAGGTTTTTAGTCTGCTGTAAGATTTCCAAGGTGGAATTTCAAGTCAATTTTGTTTCTTTTTAATTGATTGGATGTTACTTTGAATGCAGGACTTGTTGTATGTGAAAAAGCATGTGTCACACACAAGGTATTGAAGTTTTACTAACCATGGTATTGTTCACTTCTGCACAGTATTCACAAGCTCATTTATGTATTCCACAGTAAACAAGATTATTGATAAAATATTTTTTGTAATATATACTTGGCTAAATCAATACATATAGTTTATTTTATGAAAGGTATTTCACGGTCAAAGGACAGTAACATTAGCATATATGTCACCACCTGTTTCTTTTTAAATTCTATGTTATATGAAGATGTTAGTTTCACATCCTGTATCACTTGTAAAAATGGAAAGAATAAAAATGTGTATGTTAATGAAGTTATGATCTGGTGAAGTTTTTCGTTAATTTCTCCATAAGATAATCGTATATTCATATAATAATGCATAGGCCTATGATTGTTTAATAGTGGCTGCTGAGATAGCTGAAAGTAACTGTAATATGGAAGTCACTAAACCATTTTAATGAATTACAAATGCTTATATTCAATTTATTTCCTTATGATTTTGCTTCATCCTGTTCCACTAGAGCCTAAGTAAGGCACTCTCCATCCAGCATTTTATCTAAAATCTAGCTTTCAATAAACCAAAGCATAGAATTGGTTTATTATTAAATAAATAACTTAATAAAAATTCAATGAAAATAAGTGATCTATTTTTAAGTTATGAAAGCATTTGAACAAGATAAATAAAAAGTTGGGAATTTAAAAACCTGCAAATAACTGCCGACTTTTTTTATACTGAACTATGATATAGTGAGCATTTATAGTTTCTGTGTAACTAAATTCTCTGTATATAATGCACATCAATGGGCCAATATATGCCTAGACTGAGACACAACCGCCATTAAACGTGTGTAAAATTTTACCAGTAGAAAAGCAGCCCTTTCAAGTAAAACATGTACATCTAAAACATCACTTTAAATAAACGTTCGTGTATTTTAAAGTAATTATTCTACGAATATGTGTAATAAAATTTAATGTTATGTGTATTGATTTTTTTTACTCCTTTACTTCGTGCATAATATAGGGGGTTGGCTCCGCAAAGACTCTGATTGTATAATGTAAAAAGCATTGAGTATATACATGTTACAGTAATTTAATGTCCATCTAATATTGGCTGGTAATTCCAAATCAAAAATATCTAATAAAGCTAACTTGAATGGGTAATGATAACATCATTTACATTTGAATTATTATCTTTTTTTACATTATTTAAAATATAGAAAAAATAATCGACTTTTCAGTACCTCTACAACCTTCACCGTACCTTATTTAGTATTCTACAAAAGGTTTGGGTGCAATATACCAAGCCATTTTTGTTGTAGGCTGGCAAGAGAATAATAACTACAAATGGGACACTTTAAACGGATTTTGTTTTCCTTTTAAGCCCAATATGCATGCTTTTTTGTGCATTTTTATATGTGTACAGCCTTAGCAGTCAATAGTAAAGGTTTTAAATTGTTTTTTGAACTGATTCTTTACTATTTAAGGTGCATTTTGACCGAACGTTCTGTTAAGATTTTGTGCACCTCCTTGCGATCCGTATTATGAACCACTATCGTGGTTCATTATAATAACTGTGTTTTATTGTTTTTAGACATGCTTCTAATTAACGGTGGACTTGATTCGGTTAATTTTATTATATTTGTAAAATATGTACGACTATGGACAAAACTTTTTGCACCACCCTAGAACTATCTAATTCTGCTTCATAAAATTGAATGAAACTTGTTGAATAATATTGTTACGTCTCTGTTCGTTTGTCAGTTTCCTGCAAAAACCCTTCCCGAGAAACCTCAGCGACACAAACAAAATCATTCTATTCCTTCTCAACACAACCCTGCAATACACCCAATTTCCACAGTCACTTTAACTTAAACACAAACTAGAATTCACAACGATTCACGCACCCTATTTACGGCTTGACTCGATTATCCGTCTCTATATCCCTCTGTCTGCAATTCAATTAATCGCCGTCACTTTATTTGCCGGCTCATATACTAAAATAGAGGACGCCTAGCAAATACTGGATTATTCGTGATGTTCCCCGATCCTTCTAGAAACTCATCACGTGTAACCAGCGTCACGTGATTTTCGCTGTCGTAACACTGCCCCTTCCTTAGTATTGTTCGTCCCGAACAATAGCCACTTACATTAAACCAATAGATAATTAACAATAACTTAATCAAATGTACAGAATTTACAAACACAAAATTAAAATTCAACAAAGTCTCTTAATTTTACGGGACGTATGTTCTTCCGTACTGGTCTCCGTCTTGTTGGCTTCTGCTTCACGTGGGGTTCATCTACTCCATCAGGAAATGTCCTATTATCAGTAACAGTCACATCAGTGGTAGTAACTAAATTAAGGGCTTTGCTCTTTCCCTTCTCAAAACCGGGTAGAGTTTCTTCTTCGACAGTACCTTTTACAGGTGACATATCTTCAGCAGCATCATTTGTTCCGTTGTTCACTTCGTTCCAACTGAAATGTCCTGGACCGTGATAATGCCACAGCCTGTTGGCATGCACCACCTTTGGCTTACCTCGCCGACCACATTTTATTTGGAAAGTCACGTCTGAGAGATGATCCACAATGTCACGTGGACCTTCCCATGGAGAAGACATCTCAGGAGACTTTCCTTTGATCTTCCTGGGATTATACAACCACATCTTGTCTCCTGGTACAAAGCTGACTTCAGTAGATCTCTTATCATAACATAGCTTCATGGAATCAACAGACGTTTTCAAGTTTGAACGCACTTGATGGTGAATATCATCCATCCTTTCAGATAACAATTTCACGAACTCTGACACATTTTCAGGCAACTCTTCGTAAGGTGGGCGTCCTGTTATCAGGTCCACTGGCAACCGAAGTTCCCGACCAAACATCAACTTTGCTGGAGTGTATCCAGTGGGTTCATGCTCTGCTGTTCTATAGGCCATCAACAGTGGAGGGAGTAAGATACCCCAGTGATCTTGGTGGCTATTACAAAACTTTGCCAATTCCTGTCCCAGTGTAAAATTGTACTTTTCTACCATCAGACTGTGGGTGAAGTGGCATTATCCTGGTCATATGCCAAACAACTTGCAGCATTCATGGAACACAGCTGATTCAAAGTTACAGCCTTGATCAGAATGCAGTTCGTATGACATACCAAACCTGAAGAAGAAATCACTAATTGCCGAAGCTACAGTTGTAACTTCCTGATTTGGTATTGCATGTGCCTCAGACCACTTGGTGAAATAATCCATCACCACACAAATGTACTTGTTTCCAGCATGAATTTGGGGCAAAGGAATAGCAATGTCAATGGCTACTCTTTCCATTGGTGTGGCAACTTGATATAATTTCATTGGAGCACGTCCCTTATGTTTGGGTCCCCTTTTAG